AATAGTTCAAACATTGGAAAACAGTTAAAAATTTCACGCACCAGCGCATGAAAGCTGCATTCGAAAACTTGAAGGGTGAATATCTTTCCATAATTTCGTGTTAATAGTTTACCTGCCAAAACTTTCACGAGGCCGTAGGTGATACCCAAGAGCGCGGGAATGCTGAATTTAAATGGGCAAGGTTGAGGGTGGGCAGGGGGCCATTACCCTAAAATTTCAGCCTCCTAGACTCCGTGGTTCCCGAGATATTAATTTACCCGTAAAGAACTTTTACGGAGCCATACGTGTTACCCGTGGGTACGGGGAAGCTGAATTTAAATTTGCTGGGTCACACGTGGGTGGGTAACGTTCCCCTAAATTTTCAGCTTCCTAGCTTTGTGGTTTCCGAGTTGAAAGTTGCGGACAAGTTGCTGCGGACACACACACACAGACAACCCCGTAACAATATTCCCGAGTTGAAAGTTGCGGACAAGTTGCTGCGAACACACACACACACACACACACACAGACAAACCCGTGACAATATGGGTTTTGTACTGCTGTTAGACAGCACAAAACGCATAAAAAAAGAACTGTGGTTTATATTTTGAAAGAAATTGAAGAAAAATAAGAACTATCACTCAGACAAAAATGTGTTTATGCTGACAGGTTGTGTGGATTAGGTGCAAGTATCCATCTAGGAATAATGAGGCCTGACGGAGCTGGGCCTGATAACTGGCTGCATTCCTCAGTGGAAGTGCCGAGGCCGATTTATCACAGCGTTGACGCTATTATGTCCAATAAATACTAAGAATACCACGACTACTCGAATTGTCAGTACAGAATTCCTCCGTTAGTAATGGTAGGATGGTACTGCACGCCTAGCACAGCTACGCCAAGTCCTTCGATTCTGAGATGCACACCTCCGGTCAATACTCACCGCCTATTCTATGTATGTACGCCACTTGTTTGGAGCCCAGCTCTTCCTCTCCAACTTTCCTCTCCCCTTCCTGTCTAAGACCAAACTCACTTGACTGGCTACTTATCAAAATATGTGTAAGCTGGTGATTTTTTACGACCGACGGTAGAATGCCTCTAGGCCATCTGAACAACTTGAAATGAAAACTTGGTACCTCCTTCCCTCTCACTGTGACGATGCCCGCCTTTTCCTTCCCCCTTAGCCTTTTCTTCATCGGCCCGCTTCGTTGACCTCTTACTTCCGTGCTTACTCTTCGACCTTTCTTTTTCCTTTTCATCAGCGCCGTTTTCCCCATCTTCATCCCTCTTCCTCGTGCTGCGCTCATCCTTCTTGGCGCTACTCTTCTCCCTCTTCGGAGGACTGCCCTCATCCTTCCTGGCGCTGCTCTTCTCCCTCTTCGGAGGACTGCCCTCATCCTTCTTGGCGCTGCTCTTCTCCCTCTTCGGAGGACTGCCCTCATCTCTCTCCCTCTCTTTGTCTTTTTCTTTTTCAGCGTCGTTTTCTTCCTTATCTTTCCTAAGACTACTTTCTCCTTTCTCCTTTTTGCTACCGCTCTCACTGTCTTTTTTCGATCGTTTCTTAGCGTGTTTCGGGCTCTTCTGCTCGCCTTCCTTCTCTGATTTCTTTTCCTCCTTCTGCGAACCGGCCTCGGAGGAACTTGGTGGCAGGAATTCCGGTAGTTTCTTCCGCTTCACCAAATTATTGAAATCCTGCAAAGTGTTTAAATACATTTCATTGGTGCACAAAGACCAGCTGCTAACGCTTGAGCCCCTTCTTGAACAACACTCTACTAGAGAACTACCATTCGGAAAACAACACTTCGTGATCCCACTGCGCGCAAACTGGTCATTCCGTCTCACCCAGAAAGTGGGGTTCCTTGAACATGGCTTCAGCTAATACTAGCATCGGCGAGAACACCGATCAGGTATATTGCTGTAATTGCGGGCCGAAGCCATGCAGTCTCTCACACAGTCCGTCTTACAGTAATACCTTTTGCTTGTGAGCGTGGCACCGCCTCAAGCTGCGCCGCTTTCGTGGGTTCAACCAATCTCTTTACGACTCATTCATTCGTTTCGGTGGTAAATTGGTACTGGCATATCTCAGGGAGTCAAACCCTGTCATCAGCCTGCTTATAAGCAACCGTTGAAAAAGGCGCCACCAACGGTTTACTGCTAGTTACTCTTGAGTGCTTCCGCCTCCCATAGAAAGCGATTACGAAAGGATTGCTGACTTTTGCCTGTGCTCACTTCTTACTTTCCTCCCTCCTCCCATATTCTTTCTCCTTTATCCTTGCTCTCCTCAGAACTCCACCTTCTGTTCTGCCGAATACGGCCGCATAAATTAATTACCATTACATCAGGGGCTGCACTGGAAAATCGGATCTCAGTGCCCTCTCTAAATTCCGTAAAGTTAGTATGAAACGCGAGCCTCAACGTCCTTTGTTAATTCTGACTGTTTGAAGAACATTCGTAATCACCAAAAACTGCTACTACCTCGGGAAGTGGCACCTTCCTTGGTACTTTGAAAGGAACATCAATTTTTTTCTCCTCCAGCGTTCTTTTGACGATCGGTGATACATCGGTGTCAATAAACGAATTCAGCAGTTTTTCCAGTCGTGGATCGATCCGCGACCAGTCTTTTGATTCAGTCTGTAACGAGGAGAAAGCTACCATTTTTTAGGCAAATAATTTTTTTCGGCAAATGCGTGATACATCAGTTCGCTTAGGTGTTTTTTCATCACCCTATATCTTCCATCTTTTCTTTCCTCAAAAGCCCTCTCCTTCCTTGATAGTCGAAAAAGACGAAATATTTGATTGCAGTGTAATATAATTTAAGCAAAATAAGGAAATACAACTAGAAATGCTGAAGTTTTACTGGTCCCTGTATGAGTACGGAAAGTTTCAAATATTTAAGCAGAAAACTGTATGTTGCTGAACTTTTTTAGCTTTGTTATGGAACGTCTCTGGATCTGGTAAATCATTCAGAACGATGCGTCGTTTCATCACTATTGTGCGGTAAATGTCGCGCAATTTTTGCGGTTCTGTTTCGGTGTCGACTGCTTCTGGTGTCCTTTTGAAGAACATCTTTTGTCTCACAATTTCATCCATCACATAGCTGTGTATTCGAAGCTGAAATTTCGAATATTGTTGCGTGCAAAAAAATTTCGAATGCAGTAAAGTTTGTTGCGTGCAGAAACTGTCAACACCGTTACTTGTCGAGCAGCTGTGGTCCTCCACTAATAAAAAGTTCTTTCTGGTGTATTCTACTGGGAAAAAAGTGGTGATGACAACTTGCAGCTGTTTTTAGGAGAGGAAGGGAGCGGGGGCAGGGGGGGGGAGGGCAGAAGATAGCTTTTGAGGGTCAGTACTTTATGTTAGTTGACCATATGGCATAAGTTTGCACTTTGATTATACACTATTTCAAGCCGGCAGTCATTCCGAGGTGAGAAGTGGCACTGTTTTCAAGTAGCAGGTCAAGGTTCGCCTTCGTCGGTGGGACTACCAATCCTTACGGTTCGTCCTCTCATTTTAACGATAAACTGGTGCTCATAATTGCTGGCGAGCCAAGTCCGCCACTTTCAGCTTGCACGTAAGCAACCTGAGAAAGAAAAAGCCATCGAGGTCTTGGCTGGCTGCTGTTGGCACTTGCTAACATTCGGATTACTTTCCGAGCGTCTAAGCTTCTCACATAGTGCGAACTTGGGAGCGGTTTTACTTTTTTTTTTTGACAGAAATTTTCAAACATATTTAGATGTATTTTCTCCTTAACCATACGGAAAATAAAACACCTTGTCAAATAAGTTTAAGCACGAGATAATTCCTTAGTCTTTCCCTGCTTTACACATTTGGCTGACAGGGGCCAGCAAAATACCTTTCACTCTGGCTAACTCCAAAAAGTTTTTGTGCTTGATTTGTATGGAAAAGTTGAAAAAACAGAGAGGTGGAGTGGAAAAAAAAGATTGTTTATGAGCATAGCACCGCAAGCAGGAGTGAAAATAAACGTGGCCAACATTTCTGGCTCTTCTGACTACATCATTGACACGTTTGTGGTGATATGAATTGGGCAAATCGATTATCTCTTTCACGACGGCGTCTAGATCCTCCTTGATTGCATCTCTGAGCAATACGTTTTTATCCGACCAATATGGCCAAAATGAGCCAATGTAAACCTGAATTTGTCTACTTTTTTCTGTACAGCCTACACTGATAAATTCTGAATATAGCGAGAGGATACTTTTTAAAACTCTTGAATTTTTTTCAGAATTTTTTACGGGAGTATAAATGATTTGGAGTGAAGGGACGATATTCAGTAATAATAGGCAAAATTATGCTCTGAGGAAAATAACTTTGAAAGAATCCGGAAATACTAGATTCACTTAATTTAAAAAATCGGGAATTTTATGATTTCATGACTATTTGCTTCCAGAATGATGAAGCAGTGTTTGCAATTGAGTCAGTCGTACTGATGTTTTCAAAGTCTCACTTTTCAGCTAAATAGAAAACGCGATTCTTGGCAGAGTAACATCATCTTTGTG